ATTTTCGGTGTTTTCAGTCGGAATGTTTCTTGGCAAAGCTAATTTTATTATAGGCTAACAACTTGGTTTAGTCCCACATAACAGTTCCTCCTAAATTAAAGAGTCGTAAAGGTTTCAAATGCATTTTCTCAAAAAATTACAGTACGTTTGCAAATAAATGGGTTAACCCACTAGATTTGGTTTAAAATTGCCAAATCCATTATTTTTTCTTCATATAAATCCTCCACAAGTGGATTAACCATACAAAAACTTCAAACATAAACATGGCATTAGCTCCTAATTTATATTACGGGTTCTCAGATGGTAAAAACCTTAAACCTAGTGATCTAACGACTAGTTGGTATTTGTTCCTTATATTATTTATTAACTGGTTGATTGAATTTCCAACTGCTAAATTCATTTGAACCTTTTCACTTTGTGGCCTTAAATTAAAAAATGGTCAATAAGAATTTTTTTGTAATAGTTTTTATTGTATTTCACTTACTGAGCTATAAGACACATGCTTATTCTTTTTTTGTTTTCAAAAAAATGGTGTAAGTTTAGTTCTTTATGTAGCATTACTCTTTTTCTGAATAACAAATTTTATATGAAACATAATGATGATGTATGATGAAGATGTTGCTACTTAATGAAGATGTTTTTGATTACAAAATGACAAATTGTTCGTTTCTCTATTTTTTATGATGGATAATATACACATATATACTATATAAACGATCTTCAATGTTTCACTAAATTTTATTGTTTTACAATCTAGACATCACTATTTTGAGTGTTTCACATTTCTTAGGACACACAAAAAAATGGGGGACAAAGGAGAGAAAAAAAAAGAAGTTAATACATGTGTGAGTGAATCGAAACAGTGTGTTTGTTATGTTTAATGGAATGTTTTTTGTAAAATACGTATAAAATTTGCAATTGTTTGTTGTAAAACATACATGTAATGGACTAATGGACTTTTAAAATATCATACCAATAAAAAAATACATCATAAATAAATACAAAAGAATACAAATTAAAACGATGACAAAATACAATAAATACATAGGAGGTTAGGATTTGATTTATGGAGGATATTGTGTTTTTTTTTTTAATTTTACAGAAATGGAAGAGTGTCTTAATCAAAAATGTTGCATGAAAATGTTATTGAAACAGGGTAAAAAAAAATTGTTTAAAACAAATTTTTAACACAAACAGAAAATTAAAACAGAACATTCATTGCTGAAGTTAATACAACAGATTAGTTTAAGTAGGAATAAATTTTAACATATTTTATATGTAAGTATGTATGTCGTTTCATTGTTTTGAATGATAATTGATTTTGTGTTTTTTTTTTAAATCTACTTAAATAGTAAAAGTTTTAAAAGATTTCTCACTAATACTTGTTGTCGTTTTTTTTTATTATAATTTTTGTTTAAGTATTTATAGACGCATTTTGTGTTGTATTATTTATTTAAAGTGAAACAAGGGGCGACTATTTGCTTAGGAATTTGTCCTAGCCTGCTAAGTTAGTTATATGGTCACACGAAACTATTTTCTGCGGTAAATGGAATGATTGTATTTGTTTTCAGATATTATGAATAGGATTTCGAATTGGAATTTTTGTTTTACAAATATCAACATAAAAATTAAGTAAAATTTACTGAGTGTATACCGCAATTGTATCTTTGAATTTCGAAACTATTTTTTGTGTTAAATGGAATGATGTTTTCATATCCTATGAATTAAATTTTGAATATAAATTTTTGTTACTCATATATGAACATAAAAATTACTGAGTGTAAACCACAATTGTATATTTGAATCTAGGAATTTCGAAAAGTGAGGAATTACAACAACGAAACACAACTCGAACAGTGCTTAACCAAAATCGAATTTACACAATATCATAAAAAATATTTAAAAAAGACCCGTACCAAGTTCGATATTAAAAAATGAGTCTAATAATTCAACGTCTAAATGTAGACCTACAGCAATTCTCTAATTTTTCTTAGCAAAACTAGTTCAATTGTGAAGTCCTAGCACTTATTTCTTTTGGTTGCTTATTTACCGACAAATTTCGTTAATTATCGAATTTATAACCTGATATTAATTTGAATGTCTCGAAAATTGTCCGTTATTTTGTTGTTATCTAGTTACAGTCTTGAGATTTAAAATATCAGAATTTGCAGACTTTGAAAAATAGAAGATGGAAAAAGGATTCATAGAAGAAAGAATTGTTTATCTACAATGTCCAAATACAAAACATACATCACAGAATTTTAAAAAATATTCCACGTATACAAAAAATCAAAATTTGGAGACTTTGAAATATAGAATGTGGAAAGAGAATTCATAGAAGAAAGAACGGTTCACCTACAATCTTCAAGCCAAAAATACATTATAGAATTTTAGAAAATATTCTAAGTTAACAAAAAATGGTCCAGAAAACTGTGGGAGAATAATTGCCTTGTAATTTATTCCTGATTTTTTCTGAATATCCTGCTTGTGTCATATAAAAACTGATAACGATTCTTAGTAAAACAATTGTCAGTCATCTTCTTCTAAAAATCCCCAACAATTTTTACTACTCAGAAGCCTTCAATGGGAACTTTAATTTATTTAAACAAGTTGGCGTTTCATAACTTCAACTAGATTCTAAAACAAATTTATTACCAAAACAAAACCAAAACATCAAAGAATTTTAGAATATATTCAAAGTATACAAAATATGGCAAAGGAAACTAAGGGGGAAAATAATTGCCTTGTAATTGATTCCTTTTTTTCTAAATGGTCTGCTTCTGTCATATAAAAATTAAAAATATAAAAAACGTCTTCTTCTAAAATTCCCAAACAATTTTTACTACTCAGAAGCCCTCAATTAAAACTTTAATTTATCGAAAACATGTTGGTCATTTATAACTTCAACTAGAATCTAAAACAAATCTTAGCTAAAATAAAATCTCTAGTGGGCTTCTTCCTGTAAATAGGTAAAGGAGAAGTTTTTGCTGGAGTAGTTTTCGCTTCGCCATATTTTTCTTCCAGAATATACATTTTACAAATAAAACTAGAAAATATGTCACATGATGAGCTCTACAAATTATGGATCTGGGCCTTAATTCTTCTATGAAAATGTGAAATGAAAACTTTTATAAAGGAAAGAAATTTCAAATGAAAAATTTTATAAAGGAAATATTTTTCATTTCATATTTTCAAAGAACAAGAATCCAGCCCCTGGACTTGTTTCTGAGTGGATATTAAAAGGATTCAGATAATATATAATTTCATGAAAGGCAGATCCGATGTCTACTTGGAGTTATTTTTGACCTTTTTGAGATAAGCAACATGAAAATTTTATCAAAATACTATTTCAAGATAGCTGATATAGAACTGTCCGAATAAATTAAATTTAGATATTATTATTTCAAGAACAGTGTTGGCATGTTTGTTCGGGATAGTTAGGGTTAATCCCATAGTTAGGCTTAATCCTATTATATTTATTTTATAGAAAAATAAAACGCAAATATCCTCCGTTTTTAGCTGAGATTATATGAAGGGACATAAACAAGTTTCTTCATCAATATTTTTAGCTCTTTTGGAGTTACGACCATCTCACCTAAAAACTTTGCAATAAATAACCTGCACTCCAATAATAATTGTCAACATTTAAAATTACTCTACTCTACAAAACCGAAATGCCACAAACCTAGGTCTGTGAAGTCGAATTCAGAGACTATGACTCAGGTATGTTATCAAAGACAAAGTCGAGTTATTTTTTCGATAAAAAAATCAATAAATGAGCGGTAAATTTGGCTTCTGGGAAATATAGGTGGAGGAGATAGGTACAAATGAAATAATCACTGATGGCGTTCTACTTTATATATACTTTCATGTTTCGTGAAGTCGAATCCGGAGACTAGGGATCAGATATGTTATTAAAGACAAAGTCGCGTTAGTCTTTCAAAAAAAAAAAAAAGATCCAATGAATGACCGGTAAATTCGTCTTTGAAAATTACGAAGAAGACTACACTCCTGAAAAATATTTTTGGAGGAAATAGATACAACTCTGACAAGCACATATGGAAAGATTTAATCATTTTTTTAATTTAAATGTACCGCCATGTTTCATGAATTTTTGTAAAAAAAAATTAAAAAATTGGAAAAAACTAAATCTTCCAATTGTAAATAGTTCTAGGACTACTTTAGACCAATAGATTATGACAAACTATTTGGAAGTTAATTAAAGTTTAAGAATTTTATAGAAGCTAATAAAGAATATAAAAACTTTGTGTTTCCGAACGATTAAGAAAAAAGGTCAAACATAAGGTATGTAAAAATATTGTATTTCCCTAGAGACGAGTAGGAATTTTATTTTGAAGTCGTCCACAAAATTTGCCTGGGGATGAATTCTTGTTTTCATTAAAAATTCGAAATAAATTGTTTTTAACAAAATTTCTATAAAAAGAGTTTATTCGACATTTTCCTAAAACAAGAATTTGTGCCCCTGGATTCAGAATCCAGCGGAAACCTGGTTTTACACAGGCAATTTTTTGTTAGGAGATTATTTAACCAATGAGAAGCCATAATTCAAAACTCATAACACCAACGAAATCATTGGATTTCGTAATCAATTGAAATAGCAAGAAAAAAGTTAAACTTTAATTGTTTGGAATCCCTTAACATGTCTTCTCAAAGATACAATTTGCCTGGCGGTTTGCACACTCAGCGGATGGATAACATTTCAAACAGAGGATATTGTAGTTGATCTACTAACAAAGATAAGTATTTAATAACTTGATATCCCTTAACATGACTTTTCAAAGATACAATTTGCCATGGCGGTTTACACACTCAGCGCAATCTGTGGATGGATAACATTTCAAACAGAGGATATTGTGGTTGATCTACTAAAAAAGTTAAGTATTTAGAAAAAAAAATATCGACACTTTATAAACTATAAAAAATTATATATGTGTGTTTAAAATAACCTTTATGTTTTAATAATTAAAAAAATATAGTAATAATAGTTAAAAGTATATTTTATGTGTATAATAATGTATAATAAAATACAAACAAATACCGATTTTTGTGTGACAATTGATCGATCTCTTATATGAATGACGTACAATTAAAAGAAAAAAACTAAAAACAATTAAATAGGTAAGCGGAAGGAGGTGGGGGTGTGGGTTTACGTATGTTTATACATTTCTTTGTATTTTGTAATGAAGGCGAACGGGCGGGCGGGCGAGTGAGCGTTTGGACATTTGATTGCTAACTTAATGTCGTTTCGGTCAATATGGTCAATGAATGGGTGTTGACCGGAAATTGTGAATTACTTTTTGAAATTGCAAGCTTTTTTGAAAGCTTCGCATTTTCATATACAGAGACAAAAATTGTAGATATGTTTTATTAACATTTGTTTATTTAAAGTGCTATTAACACGATTGTCAAGTATTCTTTTTTATATAGGTAATATATTTTAAGGGCATCGAAAGGTAATGGAATGGTTTGAATTGAATTGAGTTTTGATTTGTTTCATCAATGTCTTTTTCGTTTCTTTTGTTTTTGTTTTTTTTTTTTTAAGTAACGGCCGTAATAGAGTTTGTTTTTGCATCAGTTCATGGCCAAAGCATTTAACGGACGGAAAATTTCAACAGTACTGATAGTAGATAGTCTTAATCATTATTTGTTGTTGCATGCCAAAATCATAGAGCAGCAGCAGTAGGTGATACTAATGATAATAATTGTAAAGGAGATACGTCAAACAGTTGCAGTTAAATTGTCAAGCAAAAAAACTTGGTTCCCATACAATACACAAAATTGTTCTGTCTTTGCTTTTGTTTTCGTTTTTTGTAGCTAACATTACAAGTATATAGACCTCTCAAAGGTGTAGAACCCCGTCTCTGGACTCGACAATTGGTGCCCCGCCGGATGCAGCGCCACCGGCGGTTAATTGATGTGGATGTGTGGGTTGGTCGTCTAACGTTATACCTGTCATATCCACAACCTCATCTTGATCGTCTTGATCCAATTCGTCGGATGTGTTTGTATGATTGGTGTGATGAGAACCGCTCGATAATTGACTAGTTCGCGAGAAGGAACCGCGGCGTGGCGATGTTAGTGTCCTTTGATTGGCCGGCTTGAAGGTGATGATTAGATTTGAGCTATTGGCCACCATCATGTCAGTAACCTACAAAAAAAAAGGGAGAAGAAATACTTAGTGTGTTGTACTTAATTAGTGTTGTGCTAATTTTTAATAGAAACAATTTACGAAGACATTCAGAAACGGCGTCTGGCCATACAATGTCAAATGCTAATTAGCATTGATATGTTTGTGAACATTTTCTAATATTTTTTTGTTGGTTTCTATTTGGAAACTTAAAAATGTTTCTAGGGTTTCACATACAAAGGAATTTTATTCATTTTGCTGGCCATTTATGGGTGTAAGAACATTCATCCCTGGATGCAATCAGCGATCTTTTTTTCTTAATCACTCTGTATTTGGGCAATTCTATACTTAAATTTAACAATATTTTTAAAATAAATTAAATAGACCACGTTAACAAATGTTTCACATGCAAACACGTTTTTTTTCTTATTAGCTATTTTTAATTTTAATTTTCGTTCCAGTACAATACAAACTGCCAACAACCGTAGAATAAAAGAGAACTAAAAAATTTTAGAGTCTCACCTGATCTAGCGTTTTTCCCGCAACTTCAATACCATTCACTTCAATAACTTCATCATTAACGGCCAGCAGACCAGTACTTTCAGCCAAACCGCCCGGCACCAGACGTGATATAAATATACCCGGTTGTTTCTCCAAACCGTTCGGTGTTACACGCACCGATGTACCATCACGTATATAGAAACCCAAAGGTTTGTCACTTCCATGCTTCAGTAGACGTACCCTTCGATGTGTTTCCGGCACAATGTGTACATCGATAATTTGCGATACTTGTCGAAAATCGTGTGGCATTGATATGGGTGGGGCTCTCGGTCTGCCCGGTGTTTGTCCCAATATGTGACTGATACTGAATGCTGGCCGTCGGCCATTATTACTATACTCTAGATCTTCTTCGCGTTGTACAATTATTCGTAGTATGGGTTGGGCGGTCTTCAAGGCACGTGCAAAATTGTCATCGTTATTTATGGGCAGTAGTCCTTGATCACGTGGATCGATATATTGTATGACAAATTTTATATTCGTTAGGCCATGCAACTGGCATAGCAGACTGTTAAAACTGTCAAAACTTGGCGGTTCATCGCTGCGTTTTAGACCAAATCGTCGGAATTCGGCATCAAACTGAAAGTAGAAAGTTAGGAGAGGGTTTAGTTAAAATGGAATATGGGTAATTTTCTATTTACAGACTAAAAAAGACCCTCAATCGAAACATTTAAAATACTATTCCAAATATTTTTTAGATTTTTTATACCTTACAACACTAAGTTTGATGGGCCAAAAATTATATAACACCTCGAATTATTGGTCCCCGACATAGGAAACTATATATGGATTTTCCTATCTCGCCAATATATGTTTGTCCGTCCGCCCGTTCGTCCATGTTAATTTGTAAACAAACTACAGGTCACAATTATGGCCCAATCCTCACGAAATTGAAAACTGGCGTGAGGTTAGGGTCAGAATATATAGGAAAGTTGGGCAGTGCTTTATGACATCATTAGAAAAACGAAATCTACCAAATGGATTTGGGCATAAGGGCCTTCCAACATATAGTGTTGAAGGGTATCACATGCTCGGTCCCGCACGACTATAGCATTTGCTTTTTTTTTTGTTTAATTGCTGTTTTAAAAAAAAAAAACAAATGTAGAATGAATTGTTTTCCAAAATGAACCAAAATTGTTCGGTCTGTTTTGCATTAGTATATGCTCTTTACCATTACTATGGTCAGTAAAAAGTAGTGAATATTGGTGCGATTGATGTCGAATTAGAAAGTGCCAACTTAAACATTGAATCCCCTCCCTTGAAAGTTCACCTACGTACCTTAGGTGGAAATTATATCGGAGCTCTAACAAATTAGATATATCGCTCACATACAAAAATAAAACGGAGTCATTATATATTTAGATAGTCTGGCGGATTCTTAAGGATAAAAAAATGCATGTTATAACGACAGTCTGATCTACAATCCGAAAAGACCCAACGTCTGCATGAGCAAGAACTGACATCTCTTTCCTTTGAGTAACAGCAGTAGGAATCCGACGACAGCTGTCATCCAATTAGAATGTTGTGACATTTTATCGGCTTATTATTTTTAAGAAGTATAGCATCACATCTAAGACTCTTCTATTGAGCTAAAAATATGAACAATAGGATTAGAGAACCGGTGACTATATATGTAGATAATCTGGCGAATTAAGAACAAAAAAAAAAAACGAATGTGACAACCACAGATTGGTCTACAATTCGAAAAGACTCAAAGTCTCCATGACCAAAAACGGTCACCTCTTCCCATTGAGTAACAGCTTCGACGACAACTGTCTTCCAATTGGAATGTTGAGTCATTTTATCGGGTTATTATTTTTAAAAGGTATATATCACTTCCAATACTCTCCAATCTGCTTTTACAGCTCACTAAATGACCCACGATCATTCATCATATTTTTTTTCAAAACAAGTAAAAAAGTTGTAAGTTCGGCCGGGGCGAACTTTGAATACCATCTGCCATTTGGAACGAATTTGGCAATTTTCAAAAAAATAAAATCCGTTAAAAATTCTGTTGAAATCTTAAAAATAGCTGTTATATTAGTGTCTATACGACGACGTTAAAAACCATTACAATATACAAATGCGAAACTTGAAAAAAATCTGTGAATAATGTAGCTAAAATCATGAAAATACCGAATATCGGAAGGTACCTTTATATAGGGCCTATACCAAAACGTGGACCTGGAGGTACCATTTATATTTATTTGAGTAACATTTTATCAACCTACTTCAATTAGTTCGAAAGCTAGAGTGATTTCCACAGGCGGACAGGCGGAGGGACATCTCTAAATCGACACAGAATTTTGTGCTGATCAAGAATATATATATTTTGTGGGGTCCTAAATGTACATTTCGAGGAGTTACAAACGGAATGACAAACTTAATATACCCTCCATACTATGTTGGAGGGTATAAAGAAATCTAATGTACGCCGTTGAATAGTCCAGAAACGATTGAAGCTTCTACACACAAGAAAACTGGAGTAGATGTACCTCAAAAGTATCATCCCAATCTTAAGAATTCCAGGCTTGCGAAAGGGACAATTTCCCGAACCAAAACCAACCAAGTCTGACGTCTGTAAATATATTCTATAACTGGTCACTTTTAATGGCCCTAGCAACAAAAACTTACAAAAGGTCGGCAAGCCGGAAAGAGGCTACGAACAGGATACAAACTCTATTCTTGTTGAAATTTCATAAATAATACTGGGGACAAAGATCTAAGATTATGTACTGGAGATAAAAAAACGTTGTATGACCAATATTAATCTCAAAATGCTTAGTATGGGCGATAACGGTTCTTTAAAAAAATTGGACAAATTCGTAGGCCTGCTTCTCCAAAACTGGTAAAAGAATTCCACAGCCTAAACTTTATGCAGTACTCTATAATATTCCTTTGAATATATTGGACCAAACCATCACAGTCAAAAGGGCCCTTCGGACTAGAGAGAGTGATGTGATAGGGATTTCGATTTTGTAAATGGAGGGATTTATCCATCATAGTTACAGAGAATATGACACCATCACCGTCTTCATAATGATTGAGATTTTTTCAGGAACATAATGACAACCTACATAGATGTTTCTAAAATTAAGGAAAATTCCGGAATTAATTAATATTGTGAGAGAGGCTTAACGTTGAGTTCATGGTGAAACTGAGTCAGGATTTTAGTTCTTTTAAGGATTTCAATTTTTTTTATTTTGGAGGTTTGGAAATTAATCAGCGTACGAGGATTCCAAGCGCTGTATGTAAGAAAGCAATTGGAATTAATTGAATACCATCCATGTTGGAAATGTGTTAAAAAAATTTGTTGGTTAGCAGTAGGTCTGGACTATTTGGTAACGATGCCGTCTCTTTACTCCCATTTACCTGTACTACACGTTTCCTTAGCACTATCAATTCTACTTTAAGATATATTTGCAATGGCTTCCGAGTCGGTCAGTATTATTATAATTACGCTTACGCGAATATATCATTGTATTTACATTTTATGTCCCTATTGTTTTCATTCATGTCCCTTGTTAACGAATTGGCTTTAACATTTCGAGGAAGAAAACATTATTGTGAAGATGTATTACCTGGCTAATCGCAATTATCATAGATGAAGTCTTACATGAAAAGTATTCAAAATCCAACATCAAAGCTGCGTTTAAAGACACGCCTAGTAATGGAGAAGGAAAAAATGATAAAAAAAAACTGACCAATTAATACTATCATCACTGGTCGCTGTTTTATATTTAATACCTATTTGCATTGTTACTTCTTGGGAGAAGAGCCCACAGCCTCCTCCCGGGTAGGGATTAATATTATATATATTAAATGATTGGTAACTAGGGTAGATTTTGGAACAACATTAGTTTAGTATTAACCCTTCGATTCTTTTGAAAATTCTTCCAGAGGTAGCCATTTTTGCCCTGATTCCGGGAAACTTTTTTGGGACGGATTAGTGACACCAGATTTTAAACCCGAAAGTCCGGGTTCAAGGCCCGGGCTAGATCCTCTTACCCAACAAGTGGTCACATGATGGGGTTATTTGAAGCGATTCGGAAATTATAGTCGACTTAATTTATTTTTGTAAAAACTTTTAATTTTTCTTTATTTTTTTTCTTGGTTTCATTGCTTTCCAACAGTTCAGTATAACTTGGAATTTCGGGGAAAATATCTAATGACCTCTGGATATATTCGAAAAAATCTAAATGTTTTTGAAAAGTAATGTTAAGGTTTCAATTAAATGTTTACTTGTTACCCATAAACACCCTCAATTGCTACGCCCTTTAATTTGTTTACTCAGCTTTAAGAACCATATTGAAAATTGCACCTTGATTTTACAGCTTAATGATTATGCATACTGGTTGTCACTTTGTTTAGTTTAGTTTTCATTCAAAAACACACACTTATCTACAAGTACAAATTGTTTGTTAATAAATTGCAATTCGAATTCTTAAAGCATACCTATTGGATGAATAGTCACGCCGTAGAATATTTATAGCCGCAGCCAACATTGGCATTCAACAAGTCACTGACACGAAATATCTATTCAATAGAATTAAACAATTGAATTGAAATCAAATTAAAAACAAAAACCCAACAATACTCCCTGCCGCCCAGCAAACCAAATTTTACCCCCACGGCAATAGAGCAGAACAGAGTTCTAATTATATGTTCAATGAAAAACAACATCGTTCGCTGCGAAGCGCAAAAGAAAATCAACAGGTAGTTGATTTTCGCATTGTGCGTTCCCCACAAAAATCTATCTGAAAGAAGAAATTGAATGCGGCCGACAAGTAAACATATTTTTATATACATTGTGTTGTTCATTTTGTTGTAAATCATGGAAACGGGCGTATAAAAAAGACACAACAACAGGAGAGAATATGCAAACTATGAATCACTATCATCCGTCCATTCCAGAAGAGATTACACATAACAACACAATTATCAGCCATCCTCCATACGATTGCACTATTCATCATGTCCAAGTCAGTCAGCCAGCTAGCCAGCCAATTGCTTGCCATTAAACTTGAAACGAGAAGGAGGCTAAACACAAAGCACTCACTATTTATGCGTTACACAGTTTTCCTTGGCTCTTGTTTTCTTTCGTTTTTTTTTTATTACCTTTGATTTCACTTCAATTATATTTGTTGCTACATTTGGTAATGTGTGAAACTTATTTTTCGACATTTTCTGTTCACAATTCACTGGAGATTTTCTTTTCTTCGATAATTTTGTTGTTTGTTTGAGCTTTTCTTCTTAAACCATTTACAGTTTCCCGTGTTATGGTTGTTGAGGCACTTGTAGGTGGTTTCTTAATTGTTGAAATTTATGGATTTTTTCTACTTGGTTTAAAATAAAAATAAAAAAGGAAAAAATATTTTACAGTAGAAAATATGAACACACACACATTTACAAAAACTTCATAAACCGAAAAGAAGAAGAAGCAACGAATTCATAGCGAAATGGTAACACGCTCATAGTCGATGGGAGAACGACACTGAATGGACCGATAACTGTGAATAGTTTTGTGTTGCGGTAATGCCATATTTCAAAACATTATAATTTCAATTTTGCAATGAAAAAAATCAAAAGTCAATATAGAGAAATAACAGCAATAAAAAACAAAAGTTCTTTGAATAGACCATGGTGCAATGAAGTAAAGGTAACCTCATTTCAAGTTAGAATTTCCAATTCTGCATTTTCTGTAATTCACCTTGTCAAATGTCAATGCATTAAAAACAATTCTCCTCTCTGATTTTGTGTGCATACAATGGATTTATGAATATAGATTTTGACAATGAGATATTGTCAAATGTATAAATTAAAAAAAAAAAACAAAAATTGTAAACATATGATTACATGACTTTACCTTCTTAGTTCTACCATGGAATAGGGTTTAAGTCGATGAAGGCAGGGTTGAAAAATTTGAGAAAGTTGTAATAAATTGGGGGAAAACTGCACATCAAACTACAATGCAGATGAGGTAGGATAAGTTAAAGAAAGTTGCAAGCAACACTTTGTATGAAAAACATTATTATAAATATGATCCTTTAGGTAGGAGCAATATGAGACAACTTTCACCTTTTTTAGAATTCTTCATCTATTCATTGAAGCTTTAACTGAAACGCCATCTTCAGATCACATTTTCTAACGATTGGCGAGGTCCAAATCCTGAGGCATGTGCAATTTTAAGGCTATTACAGTACGTTTACATATAAAAGGGTTAACCCACTGGATTTGGATTTAAATTGTCATATCCATTACTTTTACTTCAAATAAATCCTTTTAAAGTAGGTTAATGCCATGTTTACGTTAGAACTTTTTGTAGGGTTAACCTACTTTGAGAGGATTTATTTGAAGTAAAAGTAATGGATATGACAATTTAAATCCAAATCCAGTGGGTTAATCCTCATATATATAAACGTACTGTAACCCTACAAAAAGTTCTAACGTAAACATGGCATTAGGTTAACCTTCTTTGAGAAAGTAATGGATATGACAATTTAAATCCAAATCCAGTGGGTTAACCCTCATATATATAAACGTACTATAACGTAAACATGGCATTAGTTTTTTAAAATTAAAAAAAAAACTTGTTGTTTGTATATATTTTAAGATTATTCGATCTCCAGCCCATGGTAGAGGAAAGCTTGGGAAAAGTTAAATGTCAAAAATTTTAATTTTTTTTTAATAAGTAGATAGATAAGACTAATAGTAGGTTGTCATGATATGCGTTTTCAATTTTTTACGAATTTTTATGATTTTTTATTAAAAATTTTTAATTAAAAAATTGGTTTGACAGTTCATTGTCCCACCATATGTGTCTATACGACTACCTATATTCTCCTATTAAATTTTATTCGCCCATTAAATTTTGTTTTTAATTTTTATAAACTAATCCTTTTAGTTTTTAAATGTGTAACAGACAAAATTTGATGACAGGATTCAAATCGTGATTACAAATATAAATTAGGAAATTTGTTTTTTTTTTTTTTTTGGCACGAATCACATTTCGTTTAAGAATTTTTTTCATGTTAATTCTTTTCTCCAGCTTTTCGGTAATTATGTTATTTCATTTTAAAGGGTTTTATTTAAAACATCAATGTGGCAACATTGATATCGATAACGATAATATCATCGCCCGGCATAATGAGACAACTGTGAATGAAGAGGAACAATGTGAGAAATGAAAAAAACGGCGTGAAGAAGCAAAGCAAACGATTAGGAAATTTTTTTGTATCGAGAAATAAATAAATATTTCCCGCAAAAAAGAGTTTAGTTAGAATTCCCAATCATGGATGTGCGGCCCAATCAAACGATATACATTAATAATCTCAATGAGAAAATCAAAAAAGAGGAGCTAAAGAAGTCGCTGTACGCCATTTTCTCCCAGTTTGGACAGATCTTGGATATTGTGGCGTTGAAAACATTGAAAATGCGTGGCCAGGCATTTGTTATTTTTAAGGAGATTGCCAGTGCGTCCAATGCGCTGAGAACAATGCAAGGCTTTCCCTTCTACGATAAGCCTATGCGTATTGCATATGCCAAAACAGATTCGGATGTGGTGGCCAAGATGAAGGGCACCTTCAAGGAAAGACCAAAGAAAGTTAAACCACCCAAGCCAGCGGCGCCGGCTGAAGATAAAAAGTAAGTTGAATTGAAGGTTTATGAATGAAGGGAAAGTTTTATTTAAAATTGTTTGTTTTTCATTTTCACAGAGACAAAAAGAAGAAAACCACCAATGCTGAGAACTCCAATCCTAATGCTCAAAGTGAACAACCACCAAATCAAATTCTTTTCCTTACAAATCTACCTGAGGAGACAAACGAGATGATGTTGTCCATGTTGTTCAATCAATTCCCCGGTTTCAAAGAGGTCCGTTTGGTGCCCAATCGCCATGATATTGCTTTTGTGGAATTTGCCACTGAACTACAGAGTAATGCTGCCAAGGAAGCTTTGCAAGGCTTTAAGATTACACCGTCGCATGCAATGAAGATAACATTTGCTAAGAAATAGTTTAAGGAACACTTCAGAGTCTTATGTGTAATTGCTTTCTGATACCTGGGATGCTCGAAATGCTTAATGCTTCGCAGCTCTTCGGAATCGTATTTATAATTTAGGTAAACGAGTTTTTTTTTGTAAGACATTTACAAAGTATATGAAGGAAAATATACAAAGAAAATGGATATCAATTATTTGAATAATATGGATTTTAATGGATTATTCTCCATCTGCATTGTCGATAGCTTGAGTATTTGCATTGTTGACGTTTTCATGGTGTATATATTTCTCAACATTTTTTGTTAGATTCTCTGAATTGCCTCCCACGATTACATCTATAATTTTGCGATTTTTCATGAAGACAAATGTTGGCATGCTGGTCACATTGTAGTCCATTGCAATTTCTTCACAATCATCCACATTTATTTTAAGCACCACAACTACATCGGAATGGGATGTGGATATTTCTTCCAATTGTGGTGCAATTAGTTTACATGGACCACACCAAGTTGCATAAAAATCTAAAACCACCAAATTGCCTCCGGCATTTGCCAGATGTTTTTCTAGGTCCTTTTTGTCTTGAATGTTGTAGATCATTTCTTTTGACGAAAGATGTTGGGGAGGATTGGGATTAGTCCTTTGGATAGGTTTTCTTTTGAAATTCTAGTTACATGACAAAATTAGTTTGACAATTTTGTATTTAAAATGGCATTGTTTTCAAAGTTGGTTTGAAAAAAATAAAGGATATGGAAAAATTATGAATTGGTGTGAAAGCATTTTTCTCTGATTTGAAAAAATATCCACAGATTCGACATAACATCCCCAACAGATTAATTGCATACAGAAATGGATAGAGTATCCAAATTTAATAAGTTATTCGCAGTTGTGGATATACCATACTGGCCGATGTGGATAAAAAATCCACCCGATTAATAGATATCCAGCGACGTGGGCATTTTTTTATGAATGCGGTCCCAAAAATTTTCCACGGAAATTGTTCAATGAAGCCATGTGAATAAATAATTCGCCGATTCGGGAAATGGAAAAGTTTTCAACTACGTTGATAAATTATCCCTGGCTTCCAATTTCAAAAGAAATTAATATTCCACAATTTCAAAATATATAGGATTTTTATTAATTGTTGTTGTTGGTGTAAATATAAGGTATTTACATAAATTAAGTATATTTTCAAACACATAAATTTAGGATGAGGACGACGTTAAAATACACAAAATTTACTTCGTTAGAAATCTACGAAAATCTGCATTACTTTTGGGTGCCGGTGTTGGAGCAAAAGTGGCATCGGATGGTTTTGACGTTGTTGTTGTCGGCACCGTACTCTTGTTTGTTAAATTCTTTCGCACCGACATTGGTATGAGCGACATTCTGGGTTTCTGATCGAAAACTTTGTTGCGCTTACTGACCAGGCCTAACATTTTCAAAGGATTTGTTGTTGCACCGGCTGTGCGTTTGGGCGGAGGGGCTGATATCGCCACAGATATCTATTACAAATGATAAAATGGTAAGATTTAATTTCAAAAAAGTGTTATAATTTGACTTACCTTATGCCCTCTTATATCAGTTCCATCCAATGCCATAACAGCTTTGCCTGCGGATGCTTCTTGTTCGAACTCTACATAAGCTATTTGTTTGAATTTACCAGATCTAGAAAGCAAATAAAGAGGGGAAATTAGTGGGTCGTAGCAGATTTTGTATAAGTTCTCTACATACTTATGGTATACAAGTCGCACATCTTTCAAATTTCCAAATGGTTTGAACAAGTTTTCCACTTCACTCTGATTGGCATCATTGGGTAAGCTTTTGACGAATAATTTTTGTGGTTCCATTTCAGCTATATATATATAAGAAATATATAAATTAGTTTTCAAATTTAAAATAGATTTTCTATCCATATATAGGGATGTTTTGTTATAAAAAAAATCAGTAGGGGAAGACCCATACAGGGTGAGATAAAAAAATGCAACAAAGTCAAACGCCATTATTTTGAAATTTTTTTATTTTGTTGTTGCAAAAATCGTCAGGCTTAATCCCATTAGTTCTATCTACAGAGAACCTTCAGAAGTTCTGTGATATGTAGAAATTCGTTGACATATATAGTAATTTAAAAAGAAAGCCCACAGTATTTGGACGCCTTTCATTAAGAGAAATACAACCTCTTATCCTTTCATTTACCTGAGTATTTGAATTTTTGTCGCTGTTCTTTATCCCTCAACACGCTGGATATGAATACTGGCCTTCCTCTGACATCTTTGCGATCCAGTGACAAAGCCTTTTCCACATCCGCCTGAAAAAGAATATACCCTCAATATTACAATTCAAAAACTCATTTTTCACACCCTACCTCAGTGGGCAGGACGGCATAACCGAAACCACGACTCCTTCCATTGCCAGAACGTATCAGTTCAATGTCGACAATATTTAATTCAGACAATTCTTCTCGAATTTCATCTTCTGTTAAATTATAATCCAAATTCGAAAGGAATATGCGCAAATGATCTTTGGATAGATCAATTTCTTGATTTTCATGTTCCTTAAATGTTGCCTCCTTCTTTGCAGGCGGGACTTGAGGTTTGGACGGTTGTTGTTGTTCTTCTGCAACTTTGGCTTGTTTGCTGGGCGGTGCAGCAGTTTCCGACTGAGTATTAGATTTTCTTTTTGTGGTGGCTTTTGCTGTGGATATTTGTGACTTTTGCTGGGAAAAGTTAGTCAACTGTACCGCGTATTCCTGCTTGAATTTATTGCATTCTTTTAAACAATTATTGAGGGTCTTTACATTGCCATTGCAACGTTCAAATCTTTCCCATGCCGATGTAATTACCAGGGGATTGTCGATACCGGGTGTATTCAAGGCTTTACTAAATAGTCTATAAAGATTGAATTCTTCATTTATTATAAGTTCAAATGAAAGTTATTAAGTAACATACCTTCTTGTTGCATCCAAATCTCTGCGCATTTCCAATAAAGCAAACTCAATCCATAAACCAGATTTTAAAGCATTATCAGCACTCTCTGTGAAAGAAGAGATCATATGTAAATAAAATATTCTTATTAACTCGTTGATATTAACAAACCCATCACTGTGGTCCACAATTCCTTGCCCTTTTTGGGATCTTGTAGTGGGCCATATTCTAGACGTCCCCAAAACTGCAATATCTCACAATTACAATCGGCCAGTACACCCCACTGTTGGCCCAAAATGGTCCATGCCAAATTAAAGTTTTTCCTCATTATATCACATTCATCGGGATCTGTCCAATCCGTATGACGTCTTAAATATGTTAAATATTCCAACCACACAGCCACTGCTGGCTCCGGTGTTTGGAAACCAGCAACTGCTGCACTTTCCAACACTTCTTGTATCTCTGTCTTAGATCTTTCCAGTTTTTCCAATACTTGTATACGTTTTATGTACAGCTCCGGCGACCAGGTACAATTTCTCAATGCCCTCAGGCAAATTTCATCTGGAGTTTGTTCAAAAAGTGGCAATTCTTGTAGATCCTTTGGTCGGCCAAATTCATCTCGATAATCTATAAAGTCGATATATTTAAGCCAACAATCAGCATTGAGGCAACAGTCAGCCACCATGCGTTCATATATGGTCTGTAGGACATTTTCATCTAAAAATTTATCCGATTCCTTGATGTAATCAAAATAGACTTCAGCACGTTCTCGATATAAATTTGTACCCAAGGATTGTAGTTTTTCTTCGAACGGAAGGATTTTCTTCAAATGTTCTTTGGCTTTGAAGTATTTAGCATCAATTTCCTCCCAATCAATATCTTCCTTGCCAGAAAAGTGTTCCTTATTTTTCTCATAGTAGACTTTGAATTCAATGTAGCTTTCTTCCATATTATTTAGGGGATAACGTAGCTCCTTTAAAAAGCTATTCACATATTCATCTCTATTTGAATCCTCAGGATATTGTTGGCGATATAATTTGAAAAATTCTTGTCCTTTATAACAATTCAGACCATATGTTCCCAAAATTTCCTCCCAAATGGTAGCACAGTCGGCACAACGTGGGGCATAACTGGCGTATTCTAAAGCCAGATCACAAGCTATAAATAAATGTTATTAAAAATTGAAACTAAAATGAATTGAAACACGATACCATTATTGAATAGAGGATATTTAACTATTTTCAAAGGTGGAACTGGGACGGCAACATAAAAGTTGCCTATTTTGAAAATCTTTAAACTCTGTTTGCAATGCAATAATGGTGCAACCTTGTTTTTCATTGTTACTTACAGTAATAATCCTTCAAAGCTCTTTGGAAGAGCTTCTTTACTTGTTGAATTTCAACCTCGGATTGGGCCAGAGTAAGTTCCACACTAATATAACGCTGCCATAACTCAGCGGTCAGCGGATAAACATTAGAAAATGTTGTGTAGGCCTTTCGTATATTATCCAAATCACCAGTGGTGCTGCAAAATAAAACTACTTTCAGAAAATACTCAAAAATTATTATCCTATTTAACACTTACTGGGACAATTCACATAATCGCACATATTTATCGTAGGCATATTGATTGACAGACAGCTCTTGTAATATTGCCTGAAATTCCTTCAAGGCTTTTATCTCTTCATCGTCATCATCGTCGTCGTCTTCATCATCCTCATCATCATCACTGTCCGATGATGCTTTATCCCCAGCACCATTAGTGTCACCATCTACCACATCAACACTTTCGATTTCCTTATCCAAAGACATATCTTCATCATCGCCATTGTCCAATTGATCAATGGGTAGGGGACCATTTAATAACGAATTATCTTCCATTAGTTCCACAACTGAAGGTGGTCGCAGTACTGAAAGAGATACATTGGTTTTTGGTCCATCATTTTCATCATCCGACTTTAGAAGAGCCTCTTCCTGCAAATAAATTTATATTTATTTATAGCTTTGGGCATTTACGCGATATTGGCATAAGTTACATACCTCGGCCTCATCTATATCCTCATCAAACATTTTACTATTGCTGGGGTCCTCCATATGTAGTTAAAACTTGTTCCAGATATACTTACCCTCCAAAAAGATACTTGACCCTCCTGTTGTTTACTATTGCTGGGACAGACAGCGAAGCGGAATGATTTTTTCAACGGCGGCGGCTTATCATGTGTAAACCAATCGGCGGCGACGCTTTGTTCTTTCTGTGTACTCTGTACACCAATACATTAACAGCTATTATACGAGTATACAACAATGGTACAATAACAAAAGGAAGAATTAAGAAAGAGGGATATAAAGCAATTTGATATTATTTCATAAATAAAATTCATACTTTTGTTGATTGGGACAGAAGACGCTTAATTTAGCTGACATTGCGTGCCGGTAAATATCCGATTAAAAGCGCTGACATTAGCTAAAATTGGTTCCGTTTTGATAAAAATAATTAATCATATTGGATATTCCTTGCATTTACTTTTGGTTATGTATATATTTGTCAAAATCAGCTGAGCGGCATTCATACCCGTGAAAATAATTTAAAGTCGAAGTTGGTTTTTAAGGTATAAAAAATAGATTTATTGTGTAGCTGTCGCATCGACACAGCTGCTGGGACAATGAACTGTCACAGCAGTTCTGAAATTGGCATTTTTGAATAAAAAATTATTCAAATTTGTAAAAGCTGTTAAAAATATTATATATAAATATTATCATAAGAACCTCCGATTGGCTTCATATAGAAAAGCATATACAAATCTACTTATTTTTGATAATTTCTGATAATTTGGCTGTCATCGATAAAAAGTGATACCGATAACAAATGCGAGTTGTTTGTGTCTTGACTAAACTATCACATGGTGATTCAGTTAGAATGAATGTAGGTACAGGGTGATAAGTGCCATTTCAAGTGCTTTTATAGAAAGGGGTGTGTAAAATAAAGAAAAAATTGATTCTGCAAAAATGGGTTTTTTCCTTGACCAAGATTTCAAAATTTTACTGTGGTTGCACTGCAAACCTTACAAAACTGATGAGATTTAGACTCGTTTATACATCGTGTTGGATATTAATCTAAGTCTCATTTACATCAAACATATGTTTTTTCAAAAATATTTAGAATTCGTAATGGGTACTACAGCATATGACAAAAAATTGTGTATGCAGGCTTACGTCTTCGTATATCCTCCATATAACGGTACCTCCCAATATTCGGTATTTTGATGATTTTAGCGACCGGAGTGGTTTCAAATTTCGTATTTAGAGTTCGTAATGGGAACTACAGCCTATGTCCTGAAATTGTCTATGCAGGTCCAGGTCTTCGAATAGGCCCCATATATCAGTACCTCCCAACATTTGGTATTTCGACGATTTTAATTACAATATTCACCGAAATTGTTTAAAAATTCTTATTTGAAGTTCCTAATTGGTACTACAGCCTGACAGAAAGTTGTCTATGAAGGTCCAGGTCTAGCTAAATTATTTACCCGATTTTTTTTCAAGGTTCATATTTGAATATTGTAAAATAATGGGTTTACACCCTAGGTCTCTTTGGGCCAAATCCGTTTCAGGGCATTTGGAGTCTATCTAGTGATGTCCGTCCGTCTATCTGGCTGGATGGTATTCACGATACCTCTCGAAGGGAGTATCCGATTTGATCGAGACTTGGTATATCGTAATATTATTGTCAAACTTTGATTGAGTTTGGAGATGGTCAATATCGGTCCACTTCTTTTGGTGCCTTCCCCACAAAATGTTAAAATTTTCAAAGAAAATACTTTACTGCACAGAAATAGAAAGGATAATCCGATTTTACTTCAACTTTGCAAATCCTAATATTTGCATCAGTGCTAGGTCATGTGCGAAAATGGACAATATCGGTCCACTCCATCAAGTACGTCCCCCATAAAGGGTCCAAATTTTGAATAATTATAACTCTTATAAAATGTGATCTAAGTGTCCGACCAATGTCTGGTGTGTAGATAGAAAATATCGGTCCACTCCTTCTTGTACCTCCCCCACAAAGGGTCAAAATTTTGAAAAATTTTGAAATCGCGAAATTAACCTCCTATTCCATTTAGACCTAGCATATTTTAATATTTTTATCAACACAGGATCTGGTGAAAAGATGGTAGATATCGGACCATTCATTCTGGTAACTCCCCCACAAAGGGTCAATATTTTGAATATTCATGAAGCCCATAATACACGAAATTAACATTTGATTCCATTCAAACTTGGAACATCTCAATATTTCCATCAAGACAAGATCTGTTATAAAGATGGTAGAGATCGGACCATTTATTCTGATACCTCCCCCAAATAGAGTCTTAACCAGGTTCATTTCAAAGATAATTTCTTTGGGTAATGTAAATGTCTAATCCCTATACAGGGTGAGTTAAAAAACTGCAACAAAGTCAAATGCCATAATTTTTAATTTTTAAATTTTATTGAATGAAAGCAAAAAATGTCGGAAATAGCATCAACTTTTAGAATAAATTTAGATTTGTTCGAATTGGTCACCTTTGGTACGAATTATGGCCAATTACGGCCAATGAAACCGTCACACGCTGCCGAATGTTGCTCTGCAGTATTTTGGCCCATTCCGGGCGAAGCGCTTGCTTTAGGTGATCGACACTTTGGTATTTTTTAGTGCCAACCTTGCTTTCCAAAATACTTCAGACACAATAGTCCAACAGATTGGTATCCGGAGATTTTGGTGGCCATTGTGCGCTGAAAATGAAGTGAGGGACCTCATTTTTTAATTTGGGTGACGCGTGCTGAGTGCGATGGTGCTGAGTTCTGTTGGAATGTCCAAGGTCTGCGGCCAAAATGTTTGCGTGCTCAAGGCTTTAATACACCCTCCAGAATATTTTCGCGACTGTTATGGCGGCTCACACCATCACCATGGCCTGCGCTTGAGCCAAGCGAAGCAACTCTTTAGCTCTTTTGAGTCTATTTGCTTTCTGTTGCGGTGTAAGTATTCGCACTTTTTGGAATTTCAATGGCTTTACACCGAGCTCATTTTTCAACATTTGCCGAATGGAATATTGCGATATGTTCAGCTCACTAGCCATTTTTCGGCCACTGCGACGCGGGTTTCGATCAAGTCGCTTCTTTACTTTTCGAACCATTTCTGCTGATGCTGCTGTTTTCTTCCGTCCACTTCCTTGACGTCGGGCTACGTTACCAGTATCACGGCAACGAGCGATGGTACGAGACACAAACGATTTATTCACATTTAAATGCTGGCGTGTTCTAACGATAGCCACTTGTGGTTTTCCAGTCAAATATAAAGAAATCACACTATCCCGCTTGAATTCAATCACGAATAACCCTTTTTCTGGAAAATTCTCACCAAAATGGGCTTTGTACGCTTGTAAACAATGTAATGAACTTCAACTGGAATAATTTTAACAGCTGTCGGACGAGTGGCTTAGAGTGACAGCAGTCTGAATTTGGTTGCAGTTTTTTTATCTCACCCTGTAATCCCTATATTAATATGTTTTAAGATCTCCCATGGGTAGTTCTATAGTAGCTAAAGGTACCCTTTCCATGACCTTCATTCCTTGTACTGCTAATCACATCAAAGGTAAAATCTGTTTCTTGTCAATTACAACAATTACCGCACAGAATGATGAAATCACGGGAACTCTAGAATTCCCACAGTGGGTGACACCCACTTGTCAAACGCAGAAGTGTGACCGCACGTTGCAGACTTGTGTCAATGACAGGAGAAGAAAGTGGGTTCTCTGGTTGCTTTGCCCCGAACAATACTTAAATTAAGTTGTATTGTTGTTGTTGCCGTGTGACAACATCATTCGAACGGAAAAGAAAATAGCAGTTATTTTCATACCACCACAGTCAGTCAGTGACAGGACTGGCTGGCTCTCTGGCTGCTTGGCTGTCTGTCACTTATCACCCATTGGCAAAATCAAGATAACAAGTGAAGTCGTGCATTTCAATGTGGTATAAAATTCGGCCACTCTAAATACGAATGCTGTCGAATCATGGCAACGGCAACAACAACAAACTGAGATGTTTTTAAATCTCTACTTTCTGTGTTCCGTGCCACACCACCAAACTAAGCATCACTGCCATCGTTTACATCGTTGCCATTCACATTTATCTCAGAGATGACACGTGCCAACACGTGACATCGAATGCTGCACGTGACGCTGTTGGCTGGCGGACTGCTGGTCTCACACAGATAAGCCAAACGAATGGTCTCAATCGCTCGCTATCAGCACTCTTCCGGATTAGGCGACAAAAAACGATGAAACGAATGACGGAACGAACCACCGGCCGACCAACGTCCTTGGTCATGGCTCCCTTTCATTAGCTTAGCCATTCGGCCGCTGGAGGAACACGTGAATTCTTAGCTAGAATTTCCGTTACAATTGCGGGCGTATACTTCCGCCGCCCAACTCTTTTGTAGATCCATTTATTGGGTGTTGTTTTACATAATTTTATTATGTAACATTCTTATTACGATTATTATTACTATTGGTGTTGTTGTTGTTATTGTTGTTGCTCTTGTTTGGTTTGACACTGACGTTGACAACGTTATGGATGAATGGTAGAGAGGGTAGAAATTGAAGGTGGGAAGCGAAGTGTGAAACTTCTTCTTGTTTCGCAAAATCGTTATCGCATAGACTTAATCAAGTTATGGATTCGATTTTTTTGTCATATCCCTCAAAAGAGATTATCAGAAAACAAAAGTCCTTAGTTTATCAAAACTTTGTATGGACTTCGTCACGAGAAAATGCAAACTCTGGAAGGTGTGGGAAATGTTGCAAAAACGACACGAGAGGAGGATTACAAACATTTGATTCCCAGGTCGTCAGATTCTACAACTCGAAACAATATATACAGGGAGAGACGAAAAAAAACTGCAACCAACTTCAGACTGCTGTCATTTCTAAGACACTCGTCCGACAGCTGTTAAAATTATTTCAACGATATCTCATTATATTGTTTACAAGCGTTTGAAAGCATTTTGTTGAGAATTTTCCAGAAAAAAAGTTATTCGTGATGGAATTCAAGCGTGATAGCGTGATTTCTTTATATTTGGCTGGAAAACTACAAATGGATATAGTTAGAGCACTCCAGCAGCATTTAAATGTGAATAAATCTTTTGTGTCTCTTACCATCGCTCG